TACAAATTGCGTAGTTATGTTGCGAATTTTAACTGGCTGTGATAGCTCAGAGGCAACATCGTTGCTGCAGTATCGTTGACTGGTATGCTGTAGGGATTTTAATCCAAACGGTGGGGGCTTTTCGACTCCAATTGCGTCCTTACCGGAGTCAAATTTATTTACTGTCCGAAAGAGAATTGGAGCGCCCGGCTGCTCTGATCGGTAGTTCCGCGTGTTTTTTCGTTCTTTATACCATCCTAATATCGGAGCAGCGCGCTAACAAATGATTCGCGAACCGCGCGCGATCTCCTTTCCAATCTTTGTCTCCTCTTTCAGAAAAACACACACACACATATTACATAACACTTGTCAGAAGACCAGTGAGGTGCCTAGAGCTTATTCCGGGCTGGGTGGTGCCCCACTGGGAGACATACCTGGAAGAACCAGCAAGACGACGTGTAGTTCTGCCCCGGACCTTATATTTCGGCGGCGGAGGTATACCGCTACCAGCCGGAATGCAAAATGCACCGCACGAACGGCACTAATGGTCTCAATGGTTGACTGGAAAATAATGAATGTTGTCTCACCTCCATTCATTTTCTGACTTGTTGAACAATTGCAAGGAATTCCTTTTGCATCCATTGAGTCATCTCGTTGTTACAGCGCCGTATAAAAATAGTCTAGATTATTGTGTAACAGATAGAGTATCTTGAAAACAATGCAAGATGAATAATTATATTCAAAAACTACTGTAATTTTAAAATTTTTAATTGTCGGCATAGTATCATAATTGTCATCCAAGAAAAAAACACTGAATTTTCGAGTGTTCTTTGCCGCTCTGTAATCTCTGACCTCTCACATCACATGTAGCGAGAGAGACGACAAATATTTGAAGCTGTTTGAACTTGCTGGAATATATTTATACAAGTTCCACTATTATTTTGTTGTAGAAAATGAAGATAAATATATGGAATTTCACAATTATTTTTAGAACTTTGAAGAATCGTTCCGGTGGCTTAATTGCAATTTATAATCTATATTTTTCAAAAAAAGAGTTTGAACCATTTTTAAAATACATTTAATTTATTGAGCTTGTTACACAAGCTTAATGCGTTGTAATTTATTGAGCTTGTTACACAAGCTCAATGCGTAAATATTATTAATATAATTAATATTCTTTTTTATATGTGTATAAATTAAATGCATTTTAAAAATAGGTCAAGCTCGTTTTTGTAATACACTGTGAGAAATACTAGTCAATGAGAGTTGCGTGAGATTTCGAAAAGAAACTAACCCGGAAAACCAAAGAATAATATTAAAGATATATATACCGGTGGATTATAGGAAAACCAGCAGATCTGATATAAAATCCACAGACTTAACTGAATGTGTTGGTGTGGCGATGGCTTCAATACGAACATGATCGACCGCGTTTAAGATTTATCTGTTTGAATACAAAATAAATATCTGTCAACGAAAACAAATATACTACGAGAACTGAAGTGAAAGTTTTACGAGGATTAAGTTTTCAACAAGGCTCATAGGCTACCAGTTTTATGTGCTTCTGAACTTCTTGGATTTGTTGGGCAGAATATATTTCCATGTATTTTACAAGTTTGGGGCGAATAAAAATTTATCTCTGTGGGCTATTGAACGTTGTCTCCGCGAAACAGTTGTAAAAGGAACCTTGATTGCTGCTAGTTTTATGCACATTTTGCGGCAAAGAATGTTTCTCAGGAGAAACGTGGTATAATTCAAAACTTTCTTCCTTCATTATGCCAAATGATAATCGTTGTACATCTTTAATTGTGGTTTTAAGATAATAATTGAATAAAATCATTTCCTTGTTCTATCACCCTTCCTATTTCTGCATATCTCAAATTTTACGAATAATATGTTTGAAATTATTTCCAAGACAGTATCAATAATTAACGACATATGACCTAAAATATCTCGGAATACGAATAAAAAATAGATGTTACAAATATTCGCTATTCCTTCGTTTACTTTTGTGAATCCGCGTTTAAATACTATTAACAATATTATAAAACGGTGAGAAATTATAATGTTATGTGGGCTATCCTGTATGTAGAACACTGTTGTTACATGTATTCTTTATTCATTTGAAAAAAGATACAAATTTATCCACTGATACAATACTTGCAGAACTCTCGATTTGTATGAGCTTGAGATTCATTCTGCGCATTTTTCACTCGATTTTTTTAATATTATGGAAATATTTTTATAATCAAAATTTTTGAAAGAATAGCGCCTAGTACAGATTGCTCAGAGTGAATTCTTCCCGTACGTCGACGTTTTTGACTGTTCACGTTTAATAAATGCAAAAATCAAGTAGTTTCGCCGCACTTACACAACAACCGGGCACACGAGAACTACGTATAAGAACCACATTGCTTACGTTGTGACTGAAATCCATTTTTATTATACATTTATTATCTTTAATTATTTTTTTAGTTGTTTGTATATGGGTGTATTTACTTATAGGGGAGTATACACTTAGCTATCACAAAGCAGTTATTCTTGACTTAGACAAAAATATTTCGAAGAAAGGCATTACGATAGGAACAAATGTACGGCAATACAGGAATGAAATGTAGACGGACTTCAAGGTTTTTTAGGGAACAACACAACTGCTTTCTGAGAACAGAGGGAGGTATGGAAGAAATATGGGACGCAGAGGACGGATGTCGGTAAATTTTGTTTCATAAATCGAACGATAAGGGAATGGAATAGATTGCCTGCAAAAATATATTTAATTACCATTAATAATAATAATAATAATAATAATAATAATAATAATAATATGTAATTAGCATGTTACCTGTATTATCTTCTTTATGTAATTAGCTGCCACCGTGTTATACCCATTTGCAGTACAAATAAATTTATCTTATTTATTTGACGATCGATAAAAATGTTACGTGGGTGGAGAAATGTGGCATTTACATGTTTTTATTGGCCAGGAACGGTATTAATTAGATTCAGATTAGGTTTGCTGATTTGCCACTAAAGACAGTAACTCGTTAAGAAAACGAATCCCGAAAAATATGCTTCTTGCTGCAAATATTTCACGGTAAAAAGAAGTGTTTCCCAGTGTGCAAAAAGTGTTTGAGTGTGCGCCGCCGTCAGGGATTCTCTCGTGCCCCTTTTCCGTGTTTAC